TGTCCGCAAGTGCACAAGAACGAGAAAGATGAGCATGTTCGTATTTCTGAACAATATTGTGGTACTCATTGGATGACTAAGTATTGCAAGTAATGCAAATCTGACTGGTATCACAAGCTCATAGCCAAATATGTGGAAGAATCCGTAGTTCGAAGGCACTACGCTCGGAAATGAAGCCGCCGGCAAATAACTTGGCAATTTATTTGGGAAAGGAATGATACAAAGAAAATCGTTGAATGGGCCTTCACAGCTAGAGGAGGTATTTCCGGGATGTTTAGTGTTATTTTGTGTCTGGTCCCAAGCACAATGTTAGTTCCAAGCAGCCGTCTAAAAAAACATTAGGGCGATGATTACTAGTTCCGTAATAGTATCCAAAATCAGAAAGGATTGTATGTATTGCTCAGCTTTATTGTTCATTGATTTTTGTGCCAAAAAACGCAAGTTCGTTTGCTGCCAGCGATATGGTTTCACACTGCCATCCCACCGTGTAGCGATAAGGAAATTGTGGTGAAGTGTGGTTGGGTTCGGTAAGATTTTTTTAGTTTTCTTTAGATTTTCTTGTAAGACACAGCTCTTTTTCGCCAGAGTTTAACGGTGACATCTTCAAGCGCTTTAGATCTGCTGAGAAATACCACACATACAGCATTCTGACCATTTCAGAAGAAGGTATTGTTTCGCTTATCATTGTCATAATAGTCCTTTTTGTATGAGGGTACTCTTAGGGTGAATTTAATGTTTAATTTTCTGAGAATGTCATCGTCATCTCAAAGTGAAGGGAAGTATCACTACTTATTTTACCTGTTTGAGTATTCCAACTTGATGTTAGAGTGTCAGACTTAAAGTTAAGTTTTTGCTATTTGGAAGTCCAGTATGCTCGCGTTTGGTCGGTTTTAATTGGTACCACCATAGCAATATGTACGCATTAGGTAGGTCTTCGAAAACTGCAACTGTCTCTTTGATGCCAAATTGGAGGGATAAAAGCTTAACCTTAGGTATTGGAGGAGTGGACTGCAGAGGTGGGTGAGGCACTTACCATGTGGTTAAAGGACCCGAATGTGAGCCCGCAGTAGTCACGAACAGTGTTTGGGCGAGAGAACGTAGGCTTGGGCGATACTCCGATCCAGTAGTCTCCAATACTCCGATAGTCCGTAGGCCTTCTGTATGCGTATGCGAAAGTTGCGACACTGATTCTTAATTTGTCGCATTCTCAATGGTCTACCGTGTGTTTTTTCGTATGAATCAACTCATAATTGTCACTGTTTAGGTTATCTATCCTAATTGGTAATGAGGTAGGGCTGGGAATTTTGGACAATATATTTTAAGTCCGGAGACACTCGCGATTATTTTTATTCGCACAAACTCGCGCGCATGAGGCTGGTTCCACGAAGTAAAAAGTGTGTTTGCCGGCTTCTTGAAGGTAATGGGTGTTTCTTGCAACTTTTGACGCAGCTGTAGGGGAGGGACTAGGACTTACCCATACAACTAAACAAATTACCTTGCACTCTTAGCTGAAATAATGCCTATCTTGTGACTAAATCTCAAACCTAATGACTACTGCAAGACTCGAGCGTGAGACAGGATGCCTCTAGTGCACTTGCGGACGAATGTTTCATTTCACGTCGACGGAATCGTTCCAAGATTTATCCGCGTTCGTGCTCCGCCCCCAGCAGCAGCGCCCTTCGATTGCCAATGTGACGAGATATTCCACTTCCAGAGTGTATCCTATAACTTTTCATGGGATGCGTGATCAATCAAAGCATGATGCTTGCTGAAATGATAGAGGCTATCAGCATAACATGTGCAAACGACCTCCTAATTGGTTGCTAGCTCGTCCATTATCGGAGGTCAACGGGCAAAGAAAGGGTCCCATTTTGCGCGTTCTTGACGGATTTCTTTGCTTTTTTCGCCACTGGGGCATTATTCAGCATCTCCACTTCCACTATGAACCCAGTCCAAACTTATCGTAATCCCTCGCTTTAAGGCAGAACGATGAAGGGAGACATCGGAAATTTTTTAGAGATGGTCAGTGACACACGAAAGGAAAAACCGAGAAAATGGCCTGAATCCGAGAAATGGGACCCTTCTTGCCCGTTGATTTGCGCATTGATGCGACTCTCATCGGTGCTGCCCTCTTCAACGCTAACACTCTCTCTGCTGAACAGCTAGAGGTTCAGACAAGGAAGACGCCGGTGGGTCAACTGCACCGCAGAGAAAGCCATGCTGTTGGGAGGACCCATAATTTCTGGCCGATTTTGGTTCAAATTCAATTTTCTTCATGTCAAATTAGCTTCATGATGAAATAAGTTAATATGTTGAAGAACACATCAGGACCTTCAGCCAGGATGATTCAGAAGCTCAAAGTGCGCAAAGGGATAATTAAGTAGGAATCAAAATAGATCAACAACCAAACCCAACGACTTGCGACAATTTTAAGAAGAACCTTGCAAGGAGCGCGGTAGGCAAGATCAGCGCTACGTTTGCCCCAGTTGCTACTGATCGGGCACTGAGCTATTGGCTCAATAGCATCGGCAAAGGCGATAGGAGCTGCAAAGTTCGACCTCATCATGGACCTCCAGTCACTTTCGATGAGGACCCTTGCGCTACGAATAGGAAGTGCATCCGGACGCTATTAGCAGGAAACTGTAGCAAACATCTGGGCGCAGCCTACGCTCCATGAGTCGACACCTGAATGGAATGGCTGTAGCAGAATGAAGCCTCGATGG